CAGCTTCTCTTACTAAATCACAACAAAATTACTCGCAAATAGAAAAGGAGTTATTAGCAGTTTTATTTGGTTGTACTAAATTCCACCAGTATATTTTTGGAAACAAAGTTTTGGTTGAAACAGACCATAAACCTTTAGTCTCATTGTTCAAAAAATCATTATTTAATATTCCACCAAGGCTTCAACGTATTATGCTTCGTTTGCAACCCTATGATTTAAATGTAACTTACAAACCTGGAAAAGATTTATTTGTCGCAGATACATTGTCTAGAGCAGCATTACCGGATACAACATTATTAGATTTGGATGAAGATATAAAATTACATGTAAACCTACTTACAACTAACTTGTCACTAAGTCCATTTAAATTACAACAAATTGAACAAGCTACCCTGTCAGATCAATCTCTCCAAATATTAATTTCTTACTGTAAAAACGGCTTCCCTAATTCCAAACATAAAGTTGAAGATTGTATTAAACCATATTTTTCTGTTAAAGATGATATCCATTATGCAGATAATTTATTATTTTTGTCAGACAGAGTGATCATTCCCTTGTCATTAAGAAGAGATTTTTTGCAATTACTTCATGAAGGTCACCAAGGCATGAACAGTTGTAAAAGCTTGGCAAGACATACAATTTATTGGCCTAACATTAATCAAGATATAGAAAATTTTGTTGGTAACTGTGAAATTTGTCTTAGTTTGAGGAAAAGCAATCCTAAAGAAAGTTTATTACCTCATGACTTTAAATATATACCATGGCACAAAGTTGCAATGGACTTTTTTGAATTTAATAGAAAAACATACTTAATAGTAGTTGATTATTTCTCAAAATTTGTTGAATTAGCATTACTTAGTCAAGGTTATAATAGCCAACAAGTTATAACACATTTAAAATCTATATTTGCCCGTCATGGCATTCCTCATACACTTATATCTGATAATGGACCACCCATGAATTCCAAAGTTTTTTATAATTTTGCAAATGATTGGAACATACACCATATCACTTCAAGTCCCTACATTAGTCGTTCTAATGGTTTAGTAGAAAGAACAGTTGCTATTGTTAAGAACATACTTAAAAAATGTGAACTCGATAACACAGATCCATACTTAGCCTTATTACAGTACCGCAATACTCCTAAAAACAATTTATGTTCTCCAGCTCAGCTTTTAATGTCTCGTAGACTACGTAGTAAATTACCTGTTGTAGAAAAATTGTTGAAACCTAGACTGTGTAACTACAAACATTTAAAAATACATTATGATAAAAATATTACTAAAATGAAAAATTATTATAATAGAAATGTAAAAGATTTAAAGCCCCTAGATAAAGGTAATAAAGTATTATTTCAAAAACAACCTCAGTCACGCTGGTATCCTGGTATCATACAACAAGTTGGTCCAGAACCACGGTCATACATAATTAATAGTCCCCAAGGTAAATTCCGTCGCAATCGACAACATATTATTAAACAGAAGTCTGAATATACTTTTGGTCAAACTCCTAACACTTCTCTTAGTTCACCAGACACAGCTCAGTCAACAATAAGTCAGCAAAACACATTTTATACACCATGTCAACCAATACATAGATTGCATACATCATCAAACACTAACTGTACATCAGATATTCCACAGTCAGAGCCGTTACATAACACAACTAAATTCTCCAGATATGGAAGAGAAATAAGAATACCTCAACGATTCTGTCAATAGGATTAGTAATAAAAATTGTTTAGTTTATAAGTAAATTTATTAAACTATAAGTTTACAAAGAATTTGTATGTTATGAATAAGTAAAACTTTAGGCACATAATTGGTGTACTTTTAAATATTTATTTTGTTGAAACATTAGAGTCACTTTTAATATTTATTTGTTTACAATTTAAATTAACTCAAAAACTACTAAGCTTCAATGTTTACGTTTTGTAAATTGTCAATGTCATGTTAAAAGTCAAATAATATAAAGTCAAGCATTGTCAAATAACGTTTCGTTTTTCGCAGTCAGTATGTAATGTCAATAATAGTGAAATAACGTTTTTAAATTATTTAATAAGTTTCGTTTATATTAAATATTCAAATTAAGTTAGTAAAGCACGTCATTTAATTTAATGTAATAACATTGTAATGTTAAAAATGTCTTCAAAAGGGGAGATGTCACGTAGGTGAATCGGAACGCCAACGTTGAATATGTTTTGTCTCACTCTCACCCTCTCTCTCTTGCACCAACATGGCTGGCTAATAAAGTGCGTATCAATTCAAGACATTGTTTTATTAAAATATAAAGAAGACCCATCATTACTGAAGAAACCACAACACCAGGCACAGAGCTGAGCAGGCAGACCGTATGCAGGAAGCTTGGAGAGAAGGCTCTTGTGCCAGACCCTGTCAAAAGCCTTGGCGATGTCAAGGCTAATAGCCAGAGACTCTCCCCGCTTGTCTATAGCTTCACCCCAGATGTGTGTCACGTACGCTAGAAGGTCACCCGTCGATCGATTCGGCTTAAATCCGTATTGACGATCGTGAATTAGAGAGTAATCTTCTAGGTAGCGGGTCAGATGGTTGTTAAGGACCCTTTCTAAGACTTTACACAACACTGAGGTGACAGCTATCGGCCGATAGTTGGCCGGGTCTGAGCGGTCCCCATTTTTGGGCACTGGTTGCACATTGGCGTCTCTCCAAGCTTCCGGCATACGCCCCAAAGAGTAAGAGAGTTGGTACAGTCGCGTAAGCACGGGAGACAACTCCGCTGCACAATGTTTTAAAACAACTGCTGGGATGCCATCGGGTCCACTAGCTTTCCGGACGTCGAGTGATTGCAATTCCGCACAAACATCACGCTGCCTGATTTTAATGTCAGGCATCGTAGTGCCACAATGAGGTAGTGTCAGTGGCAGTGCATTGCAATCACTGATTCGGGAGTTAGCCGCAAAGAGCTTTGCCAACAAATCGGCTTTCTCTTGCGGCTCATGAGCTAGTGACCCATCTGGACATCGCAGAGGTGGCAGCGAGGGCTGGCAAAAGTTATGTTGCACGGCCTTAGCCAAACGCCAAAAACTACGGGAGCCCGTAGGGTGCGTTAACAATTCGTGGCCAGTACGTGCTACACGTTGGGCATCCGCTCTGATGTAAGCCTTCTTACAAGACTTGGAAGCACTATTATAGGCAGCTTTCAGTGAGTTAACCCCGGGATCCTTAAGAGCGCGGCCTCTGATCCAAGCGCGATATGCCGCCTGCTTACGAGAAACAGCATCGGCACAATCGCGATTGAACCAGCGGTTACGTGTGCCCTTACTGATGAGATCAGAATGTGGAATGTAATACTTCATTCCCATTACGATCTCCTCAGTAATGGCAACGGCACTGGATGATAGGTCCTTTTCATTGAAGCAGCGCTGCTTCCAAGGGACAGACGCAAAGTAATCGCGCATACCATCCCAATCTGCCGTCCCATAGTGCCAGACCCTGCGTTTGACCACCAATGGTCGAGAGGTTTTGGCCTGTGGCACCTTGACAGATATCAGGCAATGGTCTGATGAACCCAGTGGGGCTCGAACCACAATCTGATACTCCTGCGGATGGGTCGTAAGCAGAAGGTCTAATAAAGAAGGCGCTTGACTTGCTATATCTGGGATCCTGGTGGGCTGATCAACCAGTTGTGTCAAGTCATGCGTGAGAGCGAATGCATGGGCAGAGATCCCTGCATGGTCAGTTTTGGAAGAGCCAAGCCACAAACCGTGGTGGGCGTTAAAGTCTCCCAAAAACACCAGTTCTGCGTTGGGAAATTGCGCCTGGGCATCATCTGCTACCCTACTGAGGTGGTCAAACAGTCGAGTTGTCTCAGCGTCGCCGGTGTGAGATCTGTAGAGGCACACGTAGACTCTGGCCAAAGGACCAGGAGTCTACATGTACCGCCAACATGGAAAAGGAGGGGTCTTCCAGGCAGCTCAAACGGCGACAACAAACATCCGCCCGAACATACAGGCATACGCCGGCTTTTGCTTTGAAGGATTCTTCAAGCGCGTAGCCGGGATATTTAAGGTAGCCTGTGTCAGCGGGCGGAAGTATTTGTGTCTCCGTGAGAAACAATAGTGCTGGCCGTGCTGTCTCAAGATGGTGGTGGACAGCATTGAGGTTAGAGTGGAGTCCGCGTATATTACAGAACTCAACCTCAAACAGCGCGGAAGGCGTGGGGGTGTGCACCGCTGTACAACCAAACTTTATTTTACGGGCTGCCATCATGAGAAAAAAGTTGAGAGACGTGAATCGAGTGGAGTTAGTCGCGACAAAGACAGGCAAATATATGGAGGCATGTTTTCCCGAGTAGCTGCCTGCGAAAGAGATACGCCGACCCAACGGACGGAAGGGCCCCCGCACCCTCCCGGGAGTGGCCGCCGGGACCCCACGCCCCGGTCACCAACCGGCACGACGGTCCACCCCGAGATTATGCGTGAAATGATGGGGCAGCCTCGCGAACTGGTTAGGAACGCTCGGGCCCCTGTACTGTGCCACGGGCGGCCAGCGGGACAGCCGTTTCTACGGGTCTCCCTGGCCGGTGGGTCGATGCAGTCCTCCCGGCATCGGTTCGAAGGATGCCTCCACTGGACCGAATCTGTCGCGGCAATCTCCACTCGAGCTCTGGTTGTACGCTGGCTGACCCCGAAACGCGCGTGAAGCACTTCACGGGTTTTTCACCATGCGTACGGTGGTAACAAACCAGGCGGGTGTTAGGCACCCTACCACCAGAAGAGCAGATGGAAGCTCTGATATCCCTCAGTCGCTTCTTACGACACCCGCGGGAAGTGAAGGGGCGGTGAGTGGTATTCTTTCTCCGTCACCGCACGGATAAAAGTTGATTGGAATTTTATTTTGAACAGGTGAACTTATAAATGGTATTGTATACCCTTTTATCCAAGACAGTATTCTTGGATCGTTGGTAACTTTTAACCACTGATTAAAAAAAAATTTTAGTTGACCACTGTGTGGTTGACTGACCTGCTTTAGTTGCGGCTGTTCAAAGGTTTCTGAGGTGCTTTGTAACGAGGTTGTGATGGGATTCGTGTCTGGGTTACTGGGGCCGGCCTCTTGAAGTTCTGTTGTGGCCCGACGCGAATCACTCGACCCTGTATTGACTGTTGGTCGGGCCCTTTTGGTTGAAAGGTTTTGATTGGTTCCTTTTGTTTTTAATTTCCTCTCCAGATTTCTTAATAGCTTTAGTGGCTTTAAACTTTTCTGGAAAATTTTCACCAAAAAGCCACTGATCCATTTGAATATCTTTAGCAGACTCTCGTGTGCTGGTGTCAAAATTACTTATAATAAATTTTCGCCTCATATTAGACTCCTGATGTTGATAATCACAAAGCAGTCTACCGACATCGTTTAGGGTATTTATTAATGCTTTATTTTCTTTGTTTTTTATGAGGTTACTAAGGACTGTTCCTACTGCAGTAAGAGCTGCTGCTATTTGATTTTGTTTGAAAATAATAACTTTGTCCCTTTTCACAGCTGTTTCAGGAACAGCGGCTTGTGCTTCCAAATTTAATTTTGGTGCTTCCATATTTTTACAGTTTTCTGGGGGTAAATATTCCTTTAAGAGTTCCCCTTTGTTTTCTTTCGCCAAGCCATTTTTTATAGTGTCCGCCCACCTTGAAGCAATGTGTTTATTTATTGGTGGGCCATACTTAGTTTCAATGGGTGCCTTACCCAATATTTCAAGAATCTCCTTGTCAATTTCATCGTAATCGTCATCTGTAAAAGTTATGTTTTAAAGAAAACTTATACCTACTATTGGAAAAACAAATTCACTCGGTCTAAGTTTCAGACAGGGTAGTTATTTTTTATTAAAAATAACTTATTTTAAGCATAATAATGTAGCTTGTATGTATTACAACCTTGTTATAATAGTACTACCTAGTACTTGATTCTACTCATTAGTAGATTTGTGGAAATCAGGGTAATTACCCAATTCCATTAGTACTAACAGCTAAATTAAAGGTAACCTTGTACACTCAATTAGACAGTAAAAAATTAAACCAAAATGGCGTTTAGCACTTTAAATAACCTTTTTTTTACCTAAATAAATAAAGTTTCGTGCATTAACCCGTAAAAACTAGTTTTATTTAACCTTTTTTATTTTCTTCATCGTTATCAACATTCCTAATTTCCACATTGGATTTACTCGTATTATCCTCCAGTTCCAGATTTTCTATAATTATAAAAGGCGTTGGTGAAAATGGCGGCGACACCGGCGTGGTGTACTCAGAACAGGAGAAAAATCATCAAATTTTTCTAGTCGCTTCTGATACTTTTTTATTTTTCTTCTTATTCGCTCAACTGAAGTTTTACGACGCCGTTTTCGCATTGTACAAAAAAATAATTAATTTTTATTTTGCTCACCGGAGTACGTAGTGACCGCAGGCGCACGAAAACAAGAATGACAGATTACACTAGATGGCGCTGAAGGACGTGTTTTTTTTTAATTTTTTTCCTATCTATGGATTTTGATACTAGGCTTTATAGAGCTTTGGATCATCGTGGCTAAAGGCTGCAGGTTTGCAAGTACTACATGTCTTCATTATCATGAAGAGACTATGCAGCGAAATACAATCACATTTTGGTAATAGCGTAACCACAGACCAATAAGAGAGCGTAACATTGCAAACACAGTCCAGAGAGAAGAGAGAGTGACCAGAGACTTTTATTTTTAATAATAGCTATGACATAATGGTTTATAGCATTGGCTTACAGTATTGATACTAATCATATCCAACACTCCCTCTCAATTTCAAATTTACTACAAAATTTTAAATTGCACTTACATAAAGTATGAAATTATAACTTTACTAAGTTCGTTTTACACAATGTTTTACAAATTGTTATCATAAGTTTACATAATATATCAAATCAGATTTATGTAAATTATACATTTTTATTACCATGATATACAATTAAAACTTTTACAAATTTGTTGAATTAATCTTTACACAAACCTTTTCTTAATAAATCAGCAATAATATTTTCAGTACTTACCTACATAGTTAATTTTTATAATATTTTTCTTCACAAGATCTTTAATATAATGAAATTTAATATAAATGTGTTTTGTTCCTTTAGAGTTCTCGTTACACTTTGCTAATGATGGCAAACTGAACCCTGATTGTCCACTAAAAGCACTGAATTTACACTGTCATTAAAATTTTCACAAATACCTTTTAAATTTACTAATTCTTGAGCTGATGTTGCAGCTATATATTCAGATTCTGCTGACGAAAGCGAAACACATTTTTGCTTCTTTGAAAACCAATGGACAGGATTTCCTTTATAAAATATTATTCCACCACTTACACTTTTTCTATCTATCTTATCTGCCCCCCAATCTGCATCTGAGTAAGCAATTAAATCCTTTTCTTGACTTTTCTGAAACAGTAGTCCTCTGTATTTAGTATCTTTTATGTATCTCAATATTCTTTTTTCTGCTTTCCGTGTCTGTTCAGTGGGGTTTTCTATAAAACAACTTAAATATGACACCGCATATGAAGGATCTGGTCTTGATGTCATTGTAAAGTATATCAAGCTTCCCATCAATTCTTTGTAAGGCAAGTCTTTTCTTTATTCTTCATTTTTATATCTAAGTTTGATTTATTGGTGTACTTTCATACCTTTGCACACTGTCATTCCAAATTTGTTTAAAATCTTCTCTATTAGTTTAGTTTGCTTTATAATTAGTTTATCTTCTTCTCTATAAATTTCCATACCTAAAAAGTTCTTTATTTCTCCCAAGTCTTTAGCATTAAAATGTTTCTGTAATGAATTTACTATATCCTTTGTGTCTCCAATCAAAATAATATCGTCTACATAAATTATCATGCAGCAATTATTGTTATAATATAAGCAATAATCATAATTTGATTGTTTAAATCCATTTTCTTTTGCAAATTTATCTATTGTATCATTCCAACACTTTGGTGATTCTATCAAACCGAATCGAATAACGCACGCTTCAATTTGAATACTGTGTTAATTTTATTTGAACATTCTAAACCTTGAGGAACATTAATATAAATTCTGAATTTAACTTTCCATTCAAAAAAGCAGTAGGTATATCTGATTGTCTTATTTCTAAATCTTCTTGTATTGCTTTAGATAACATCATTCTTACTGTGTCATCGTTCAGTACACCGGTAGCTACACATCAGTGTAGCTACCGGTGCATATGTCGTGGCCATATCGTAGATTTGCTCATTTCATGAAATGCTCGAGTGTTTCATGAAATGGTCGCATTTCATGAAATGTCTCACTATCTATTGACCACATCATAATGTGGTTTGGGCAGATCAATGATGAGAAATCGTTTCACGATATGGCCAACTAAACGCGCGGCTTCTTCATGAAATGGCCAAAATTATTTGATCATATCATAAAGTTGTTAAATTAGTTACCGGTAGAGGCGCTGCAAGCGCTTTGTTTATATTTGTAAATGGCGGCCGCTGCCGACAATGTTGTTTCTCGCAGTGATAAAGTGCATAATTTGTTATTAAATGAGGAAGAAAGTGATAACAAAAGGGTTTTCGACGAAAAGGTTCTCGAGTACTAATCAAGTTAAGCAAAAACTGAGTAAAATGTAAAAAAACCGTGGGTTGGATCGCATTACACAGGTTAGTACTTTACTCTTAAATTACATCATTATTCACTTATTTTATTAAAATACTTTATGCCAGTTAACGTATTGTGTTTCTATTAAATTAATATTATTCTTCGTTTGTGAATTATGACATAATAAGTGTAATGTTTTTTCTTTTTTAGGTTATGAGACAAATTAAGGAGAGTAGGGTGACTACGCAAAAGAAATCCGTGGACTATTACTGGCTGCAAAAATATGACATTTTGGAAACTGCGGATGAAGTAAAAAGTGCGGATGAGAATCAAGCCTACTATTGCAATATGTACCAAAGTACCTTTTTATTTCCAAATATTTGTTAGTTTTCTAAATGTAAATGACGTTTACATTTGTGTAACTACATGACACGTTAATGTTTAATTTAGAAAAAAATCTTTGATTTGTGTATTTTCTTAAAAAATATGATTCAATTTGTTTGTGTCATTCGGACTCAAATGACAATAAACAAGTTCTTAACATATTCTGGATTTTTATTAAATATTTTATGGACACCCTAATTATACGATCCGGCCAAATGTGGATGACAAAATCGTTAAACGTTGACGATTTAATGATTTGCTCAAATTAAGTTGGCCACATTATGAAATGCGACCATTTCATGAAATATTCGAGCATTTCATGAAATGAGCAAATGTACGATATGGCCACGACACATACATTATTTCGAAATTATTATTTTGTTTTATCTGATACCCTTTGGCAACTTATCTAGCTTTTTTAGTTCCGTCTTCTTTTACTTTGAATACCCATTTTGTATCCACTATTTTTGTATTTTTAGGTTTATTTACTTCTTCCCATGTATCTAAGTCATGTAATGCTTTCAACTCTTTTTTAATTGCATTTCTCCATTCCATATCCTTTGTCACTTCCTCATATTCTATAGATTCTTCTCCTGAAATCATACAATAAGCAACATAAGTGCCTGCCGTCAGAAATAAGTGACATCACAACACTTCTGCTTTTTAAAAAATCAGTTAAGGAATATTATCTGTCCTTGACATATTTTTTTTTTGTTTTTTTCTCTCAGTTGATTTTTTTTCCTCTCGAAACTTCTTGTGTGTTCATTTATATATTTATTTGTATATGTTTATGTTTTTATTATAATATATTGTTTACATATTTTTATTCATATAGTTGATATGCATTTATTTTATATTTTTTTTATTAATATGTTTTAGTGTAGGTACACGCGACATTTATGTCTCCCAGTATAGCTCCTATCGCAGGTGGGCTGGAAGAGATTTCTTAGAGAAATAAGCCATACCTTTTGTACGTAATTATTTAAGTATTTTTTATGTATTTTAATTTCGTGTACAATATATTATTAAATAAATAAATAAGTCTCATAATCATTTAATTTATTTGGTTTTCTTATTTTTCTTCCATATTTTGATATTTTATCATTTATTTCATTTGTAATTTCTTTGTTTTCTTTCATTATCTATGTCTTCAATCATTTCATTTTCTTTATCTTCATTTGTATAAACTTGTGTATTTTCTTGTATTACTTTTATGCCATTTGAGATTTATTTTATTTCTCCCTCTGAATTATTACTGTTTTTATGTTCCATATATTATGTATATATGGAACATAAAAACAGTTTTACTTTCATCGAATATAACATCTCTTGATCGTATTAATTTATTTTCATTTAAACACCACAATCTGCATCCTCCTAGATCATATCCTACAAATATATTTGATTGTGAATTTGGATCTAATTTACTAGTTCTTTTCAGATTTACTGCCCAACATTTACTACCAAACACTCTTGAGTCTTGATAAGTCATTTTTACCATACCAAATATGTGATGATGTTTTCCCATCCAATGCAACTGTTGGAGATCTATTCAACTCACAAGCTGAAGCTTTTATTGCTTCGCCCCATAAAAATTTTGGTATTTTTGTATCCAAAAACTTTGCTCTAACTTTATTCATTAAAGTTTTGTTCGTCCGCTCAGATTTTCCGTTTTGCTGCGGAGTATATGCCATAGTATATTGTTTTAAACTTTCATGGCCACTAACATTATAGCTATTAACGGGATTGTTACCATGTACCTTGTTTTTTATGAGCCTCCGATATTTCGGCACTGTTGCAAGCGCCATGATCACGGAGTAACTGAAGTAATTGCGGGTAGATGTTATTGGCAGACATATCGGTCTACCCTCTGACGTCGTCTTTTACTGCGCTCGATATCCGTACCACGTGCACCCGTATCAGATCGCAGAACAACACTTTTTTGATTTTTGCGGTTTTTACACATACATTCCAAACATTTGACAATTTAAACAAATCCTCACGATTGAAATTCTTGTATTTGGTTATTTCAATCGCTTCCCTGACCAATCTTGGTATGTAGTGGCGTTCTGTCGAAATAATTTGTGGATTATGGAGCTCAATCCAGTGATTAGGACCCGAATCAATTAAATGTTCCACGATGGCTGATTTTTGCGAATCATTATTTCTGACTGCTTTTATGTGTTCTTTCATTCGGCACACTATTGTCCGCTTCGTTTGGTCAATATACGAACTACCACAGTTGCAGTCAATCTTGTATACACCAGGTTTCTCCAAGGGAAGTTGTCTTTGTGAGACCGTAGAATCTGTGACACTTTTTGTAAAGGAATGAAGACAGTATTCAGGGAGTACTTATTAAGTATGTTCGAGATCTTGTCTGTCACTCCTTTGATATATGGCAAAAATAGTGTTTGCCTGTCTACTTTGTGTTTCTGGTGTTTTAGTTTGTGTTTGGGTGGAAACTTTCCCGTGTATCCATTATTCTGTAAGACCCGCCGTACATGCTCCAACTCTTCGTGCAGGTGTTCCTTGTCACACAAGTCATATGCACGGTTCGTTAGAGAAGTGACTACAGAATTTATAACATACTTAATAAGTACTCACTGAATACTGTCTTCACTCCTTTACAAAAACTGTCACAGATTCTACGGTCTCCTAAAGACAACTTCCCCTTGGAGAAACCTGGTGTATACAAGATTGACTGCAGCTATGGTAGTTCGTATATTGGCCAAACGAAGCGGACAATAGCGTGCTCGGGAGGACCCTGCCGAGTGCGGCTGCAGCGGCACACAGCCGTAAAGTAAGGAGCTTAAAATGCTCCTCAAAACTCCATCGGGGATCCAATACCAGGCCGAGGTACTTCATACTTCCCTCGACCGGTATTCGGACCCCCTCCACCCGGATACGGAGCCCCGGAGGGGTGCTGTGACGTGGGCCATGGAACATCATGGCCCTCGATTTGTCGAGGGCCACTTCCAGGCCCAGGAGGTAGATGCGTCGGACGACCATCGATGTGCTGACCGACGCTAGGCGTACCACATCCTCCACCTCCTTTGCTTTCGCCGCGACAAGACAACCTCCATTCCCGGAAGGAGGCTGCCTCACAGCACCCAATTGTACCTCAGGTTCCAGAGCAGTGGACCAAGCACTGAACCCTGAGGCACACCTGCGGCCATGGCCCGCGAGCGGATGCGCCCGTCAGGCCCCTCGTAGAGGACTACCCTGCCTTGAAGGTAGTCCTCTAGAATGGCGCACAGGTATGGATGCAGTCGATGAAACCTTAGTGGCTCCATGATACACTCGTGGGGGAGGCTCTTAAATGCGTTGCGGATGTCTAACGACACCGCAATAACAGCCTCACCCCGCGCAGTGGCCCCCTCGGTCCACCCCTTTAAAAGGGCCACCGCCTCCATAGTGGACCGGTCGCGCCTGAACCCGAACTGGCGTTCGGCCAGATTCGGGCCCGGCCACACCAGGTGCTCCACGATTCTGACGGCCAGGATCTTCTCTAGGAATTTCCCAGCTTCGTCGAGCACCACTATTGGCCTATACCCCGAAGGGGAGTCTTCTGGGCGGTCGTCCTTTCTGAGGAGGACTAGCCGACCCTGTTTCCATCTCCTGGGGAAGCGGCCCGCGGCGATGCTGAGATTCAGCACTGCCCAGTGCTAGAGCCAGAACCTTGGGTGGGACCCCGTCCGGCCCGGGCGCCGTCTTTTTGGCCCGGAGCCTGTCCTTCACCGCATTGAACTCTGCGTCCAACACGGAAAGGGGGGGGGGGGGCGGGATCGGCTCCTCAGAAGGGCCCCCAGGAGGGAGCATTCTCGGGGGCTGGAATGGCCCCGGGTCGGGGAAGAGAGTCCCCAGTACCCGGTCCTGTAGCCCCTCCTCCAAGGTCGAGGTGGGGGGAGCATTCGCTGAGAATTTCCCTAATATATATATATTTCTGGTCTAATAGAGCTATGAAGCTCTCCCAGGATGCCCTCTTGGCCGTTATGATGGCCACCCTCAAGGCCCTCTTGGCCTCCTTGTACACCCGACGACATTCCGCCTCGTCGTCGGGTGTGCTTGAGGCGCGCCTACGGAACCTTAAATAGGCGCGCCTGGCCCTCATACTGGTGGTGCGCAGGTCCACTATCTCCTGCGTCCACCAGTACGTCTATCCCCTCCTGGGGCAGACCCATGCCCTTGGCATGGCGGCTTCGCAGACGACCTTCATGTCATCTGAAAATAGCTCCGCCATGCCGTCAACATCCCCAGCGAGGTGAGGGGGTACATCGGCCCACGCCCGCACCATCGCTGCCTCCGATGTTGAGACCCGGTATCTGACATATAAATGGCCATGACCTGTACCCTAGCAAGGCTCCAACCGATTTGGAGCTTCCCCTCCCCTTGCAGCTTTTTTGCCATTACGATCGGGCACTGCACTGTCGTGAACCAGGATTTTCCTGGACCCATGCGTAGAGCCCCCACCTTTAACTTGCCTTCCTGGCACCCACATTTCATTGCGATCGCAGCTAAGACTTCCGTCTCCGCCACGGTCTCGTCGAGGCCAGCTATGCGCAAGTTTGTGCACTTCTCCGGCCTCCCAACCTCAACAAAAGCAGCAACCGACTGCTTCAGTCGCTCGGCGAGGACATCGGCCTTGTCAGCTGCGTTCGGCCCTGGCACCAGAATGAGCCTACTGCCCGTCTGGCTCTCCTTTATTTGGACGCACTTTGAGATACCTAGGGTGTTCAGGGTCCCTTCTCGCCATTGAGATGACGTCCAGGTAAACCGTCCCTTCTTGTAACGCCTCGGGCTTGAGTTTGATCTCAACCGCTGCTGTAGCGGGAGCCTTAAGCTTCTTCTTTCCCTCTTTAGGAGGTACTTTTACTTTGCCTTTGGCCTTCTTCTTCTTCGCAGGCTTCTGGTTAGGGACAGGTTTCGGAGTAGGGATGATCGGACTCTTCTCCGGAACCGCCACTTGAAATGCCTTCGCCTTCTTCGTCTTCCGATTGCCGCGCACTACCTCGGTCCACGGCCGTTCCGTCGCGGCTGGTTGGTTCGCGCCTTACGTCACTGCTGGTTGGCTCTCGCCTTCCGTCCTAGCTGGTTGGCTCGCGCCTTCTGCCGCTGCGTCTTCTCTCCTAAGAGGGGGGAGTCTCGCCTCTATGGCCGCAAATCGAGCGCTGACCATCTCGCTGATAGAGGCTACCAGTGAGCCTTTCAGCTCCTCGATTACCGCGTTCGTCAAGCCCGTGGGTCCAGAGGGTGGTGGAGGGGCCGGCGGGTGTGGACTACCGCCTGAAGCCCACTTGAGCTCCTCCTTTAGGACTCGGACTTCTTCCCTGAGCCTTGTTAGTTCCTCCTTCATGCGCTGATTGATGTCCACAATCTTGGGCATTTTGTCCATCTTCGTGGCCTTCTTGACCAAGGCTTGAACCGTCTCGTGCACCAGCATCACCGAGTCGACCAGTGTGTGGTAGTCAGCAGTCCTAAACTCCTCGGCGCAGTTGACAACCATTAGCTGCCTCTTTTTCTCGTTCTCGATGTGCTCAGCCAGCTCCTCGACCGTCTTCTCAGGGTCCACCTTCGGTATATCCTGAGGTTTATTCCTCCTGGGTCTCAGCTCCATGGACGTGGAGGGCTGAGGAGCAGGCGCTGCCCGCTTCCGTTTGCCCTTGCTTCGTCCGGACGTGTTCACCTTAGCGGGGGTAGGTGTTATGTCCCCCCAGCATACGTCCTCGTCGCTCGTGTCGCGCTCACTGAGCCCTCCGCCTCTCAGGCGAAGTACTCCGCAACACTCTCCTCCTCGGTAACCAATTTACCACTGCAGGGCCCGGTAATCCCGCAGCGCCGGTGGCCAGCCGGAGCGCATCGGCCGCTAGTAGCATACTTCACACTCTGGGGCCCAGCTACTCCAGAGCGCCCGGTGTCAGCGGGATCGCAAGACAAACGCATCTCATTATTTGTCATTTTTCATCAAAGTTGTCCCTCTTCCGGGCGAGGCCCACCTGGCCTACATCAGATTGTTTTTGATGAGGTGGTCGTCCTCTCGATCCCCACCCCGAAGGGTGGCGGCCCCCGGCCCCGCACCACGTGCGGTCGGTCGGAAGTGACGAGGAGTTCACGCCACAACCGCCCTCACCACATAGGCGTCTCCGCCTCTCCTATGAAGTCTCGACTGCCGCTACCCAGGGTTGCCCAGGACGCCAGCCGAGACTCACCAGGTAATTTTTATAGAGGTTTTCTTCCTCGCGGCCCCCATCCTCCGAAGAAGATGGCGGCCCTCGACCCCGCACTACGTACGGGGTTACGAGCTCCTCCGGACAGCGCACTGTCCTCGACACCGGGGCCACTCTATGCCCCCCACCTAGGGTGATTTTTAGAGAGGTTTTCTTCCTCGTGGCCCCCACCCTCCGAGGAGGATGGCGGCCCTCGGCCCCGCACTACGTACGGGGTTACGAGATTTGGCTGGTTTTGGTCCACGCCGGCCGAAGCCGGTACCCCCATCCGCCACCCGGGAGACGCGACGCGATGTCAGTCCAGCCAAATTGCGCTCGGGCATCAATGATTACCTGGAAATATCTGTATCCTGCTGGTGTTTCATCTTTTATAGGTCCTGATATGTCTGTACTCACCAATTCTTTTACTTGTATTATAAATATTGTCAAATGGTAATCGGCATGCTTTTCCTTCTATACGTGTTTCACATTTTTCCTTTCTAACTGGTAGGCCAAGTATCTTCATACTATTTCTATTTAAGTGACCTAGTCGCTGATGCCAAGTATTCGCTGTGATTGCTTGGTTCACATGAACAGCTTCTATATCAACTTTAAGTGTATATAATTTATTTACTTGAGGTGCTTGAAATCTTATTCCTTTATAATTATTATATAGTATTATGCCTCTTTTATTTATTTTAATTTCAAAACCTTTGTTAATTATTTTTGATACTGATAATAAGTTAAATTTCAATTCTTCAACAATCAATCCACCTTCAATGTTGATCTCTATTCCATCAATTTTAACTAATAAGTCACCAACTTTATATGCCAACATGCACTTGCTGTTTGCAACAACTATTCTTTAGGTTTCTCTAAAACTTTTATGTTTCTCATATATGTCTCTAAATCATTTCTTATTAAGTGTTATGTAGCTCCAGTATCTAATATAAACTTTTCTTTTTCTGTACTAATGTCTGTATTCAATGCAACAAATGTGAGAAAACTTCGTTTATTTATTTCATTATTAGTATTTGGTTCTCTATTATTTACTCTGTAATTTCTTCCTTTATAATTTCCTCTAAATTTTGCTCGCTGTATGTTAAAATTGTTAGTATTACTTCTGCACTCATTTGCCTTGTGACCTTTTTTATTACATTTATAACAGATTACAGCTTTAAATGCAACTGATCTTGTCTCTTCTTTAATTTCACTTGTGTTATTGCACAATTTCAACTCTTCATCCAGTAATCTAGCTTTTACAAATTCAAATGTTATGGTTTCGGTAATGGTCTCTATGGCTGTAATTACTGTATTGAATTTCTCGGGTAAACCGATCATCAAATAACAAATTTGGTCTTCTAATGATATCTGTGTGTCAAGCGATTCTAGCTCACGTGTCAAGTTATCATGTCTCTGAAAATAATCTTCCAGTTTTTCTGTGTCGGCCATTTTTAATGTTAAAAGTTGCCGTCGTAATCGCAATTTTGACAATATACTTTTTTTATTATTTTTATTATTTGATATTAATTTTAAACATTTTATCCAGCTGCGCTACCTAGAATAAACATTGTCTGATATAGTTTCATCCCAGTCGGTATTGTCCTTCCAAACATCCAGCAGCATGATTTTACCTTGAATAGTGAAGGGTGTCAATAAGCCGTATACATCAAATATCGACATAACTACAGAAAGCATCAATCTTTTAGTCGGTTTACTTTGACATTTTATTATGTTTGCCGGAATTTTCTTCATGGAAACGTCAAAACCGAGTTCGTCTTGAACTGGATACCATATCATACCGAGCGTTCGTTCACCGCTAAACTGTTGATCAAATTTAAACCTTACGGATACTTCACCTAAAGTTTCTTTTGGTAAACTACATAACACTGCCTGACTGTTACTCATCCAGTTTCTTATTTCGAAACCACCTTGTTTGTGTATTTCTGTGACGTGTTTTATCATTTCTATAGCGGCGGCGTCGTCCGGCAGGCTATCTATATAATCATCCATATAGTGCTGTTTAATAATCGCGTCTACAGCGGCTGAGTGCGATGACTCATACCGCTGCGCATTTTTAATTTTTATAAATTGTGCTATGAATGGGGAACAGTTCGCACCGAATATAAGGGACGTCATTTTATATGTACGTATGTCACCCTCGGGGTGCTCCTTCCACAAGAAAAGCAATGCATTTTGATCTTCGGGTTTTATTTTTATTCGTAAAAACATATCTTTTATATCGCCAGCCACACCTACTTTATTTTCTCGGAAACGAAGCATAATACCAAACAAAGAGTTTAATAAATCAGGACCGGTTAGCAAATAATCATTAAGTGACTTACCATAGACCTTAGCGGTGGCATCAAACACCAACCTTAATTTCTTTTTGTTGGGGTTGTCTACCCCAAAATGTGGTAAGTACCAAGTTTTCGGTTCTGGTCTGTTGCGTTCCAGAGGTTGAGCAAAATCATTCACTAAAAGGTGCTCAATACGTTCCCGGTACCTACTTGCATACTCTTCGTTCACCGTAATTTTTTTCATTATACTATTCAAGCGAGAAAGTGCATAGGGATAGCTGTCGGGTAACTTACAGTTCGGATTTTTCCAAGGTAAGCCAACGTGCCACCTACCATCAATAAGTTGCGCACTGCTCTCGAGGGCGGCTACCGCTCGCACCTCATCCCTGTTCTGCCGGACCTTACCGGACACTCCCAAGGCGTCAATGGAAAACGAACGGCGCACCTCGTCGTGCAGCTCGCGCAGAGCATGCTCGTGCGGCGCGGGCGGCGGGGTCGCCGCGACCACCACCAGGGCGTCGGCGTCGCATGGGGCTGCCCGCGGCGGCGGCGGCGGCTCGCCTATTACACCGTGCACGCACCAGCCTAGGGGGGTTCGAGTAGCGGACGGCTCATTGGATTTTCCTAATCTTACTTCTAAAGGAACTAACAAATGAAAATTATCCTGGCCTAATAATATCTCAGGTTGACATATAGTGTTACAGTCGATATTAACATTTTCAAATGATCGTACTTATCAAAATCATGTAAACAAACATTTTGGATAGGCAAATTCAATTCATTAACGCTACGTTCTGTTCTGCTCAGCTTTCAATCGCTCTATCCCGTGACCGATTTCCCTTAAAGATGACCGTTGCTCCTCTTCATTCGCTGCGGTAGTATTGATGAACTGGTGTTCACTTCCGCTAGGAGTTAAGGTAAGGTTGATAATGTGGTTGATAGGTGGCACGTCGACTATTATTAAATCTGCTCGATTTTGCATTTCATTTGTTTGCTCGCTGTGCGAATATATCACGAATGAGTCAGATTTCATCATACAATCGTTGACCATAGTGAGTACGCCAGCTCTCATGATTCTTTCCACTGAAACGAGGCCATTGCACATAAATCGTATATTGCATTGATCGCAGCAGTAGAATAGATAATTGTTAGGTTTGTTCAACGCAGTCCACGTGTTTTTACAACCGCTCTCAGTGGTTTGACACGTCTGCGTTCTATGATTGATGCTGCATAAGTCTTGATCTCTTTGCATTATGATAAACGGGTCCTAGCACTTCACAAAGCATAGTAGCTAATTCCACGTAGAGACAGGAGTGCACATCGGTCTCATGCATCGGTAAATAAGAGTCTCTTTGTATGTTTATAGCAATGTAATTAGATATTGGAGTGATTAAAATGGTGTTATTTTTCTCTGTCGCTTGAGGAATAGGTATTACATTATATAGGTCATAGTTTTCTCTAGTTACTAAAGGAATCTTGATTTCTAATAAGAGATACTGGTCGGTAACTTTCACTTTGACCTTTAGTAGATGATACAGTTTTGATACGTCGCTATGAATATTATCTATAGGCAATGATAAGTCCTTTGATAAGTGACTGGAAATTATGCTTAATTCGTCCTTGAGTTGGTCCGGTGATAATAAGTGAATGTTGAATTTACCGTGATAGATGTCAGTAACAGTGTCAAGCAGATTTTCTTGAATCCTTCTCATGTTATCTAAAATATTATTGGCTGTAATGGCTGATAAAATAAATTCGTTAACAGTTTTCTCCTGCTCTAGTTCTTTTTTCAGTACAATGTTTTGCTTTTCCATTTCGTTTAAATGTTGATTAAATAATTTATGTTGTTGATTTACTATAGTATCCAGACGCTGAAGAAAATGATATTGGGCTTCTATTAATGATGTTTGGTTTTTCATCAGTTTAAAGAGGTGATTTTGATCATTTTTGATGAGATTAATATCCCTTTGATACTGTTCAGCAAAGTTGTCGTCTAATATTCCGAATAGTGCATGTGCGACGTTTCCTACTCCATTGATAAGGCCTCGGCGGCGGCGGCGTCGAATTCTCGCTCCCGAC